CCTCCCCGCCCGGCTCTGTCGGCTGGTCCTGGCTCTGGCTGCCCCCAGCTGCCCCTGCCCACCATCTGACTGCATCACGCCCGGAGCCCATCAGTCCTCAGCCGGGCACCGGGGCCCTGCCCCCGGGAAACCACCTGAGCTGTGCCAACAGCAGCCCTCATCATCATCACCCCTCCCCGCCCACAGTGGCCAGTGGTGCAGCACGGGGGAACAGCAAACTCCCTGCCCCACACCCTGCCTGCACCCTGGCCTAGCCACACTTCACTCCTGCCTGGGGGGAGGCAGGGCAGTGTCTCTGTGAGACACTCAGCTCAGAGCTACATGTCCCACTCTGCACAGCTCAGGTGCCCCCAAGGGACAGTTCAGCGGGTGGGATGTGGACATGCAGAGAGCCCCTCTGCCCGAACCCCCCAGCTCCAGAGATGCTCACCTTCCGGCTGGGGATTGGCTGTGACAATGCACTTGAGCAGCACCTCCGCCCCCACGACCACTGCCATGTCCTGGATGGGAATCTCAAAGACAGGGGCTTCCAGGGGGTCTTCACCCGCTGAGACGTAGGAGTCGTCAGAGGACTCTAGACAGGGAGAGATGGGCCCCATGACTCTCAGTGGAGTGGAACAAGCAGGTCCTGTGCCATGCCAGGCTGCATGCAGGCAGGGCAGGGGCCTTGCAACCCTCTGCCCATGCCTGCCACCACCCACACCCTTGCTAGGGCATTAGAGTATCCCTAGGCTGTGCAGTGGAAGAAAGGGCCACATTAGGGGCCACGACGGCACAGTACCTGCAGCAGGATGAGGCAGGGTGCCCATACAGCATAAGGGATGAGGCAACAGCAGGGTGTGGAAAGGAAGAGGACTGTATAGCCCACCACAGCCCGAACTCCAAACTCCTCCCAGCCCCCCACGGGGTGCTGGCTGCTCTGCCCTGCCACACTGGCATCAGTCTCTCAACTCCTTCCCTTCCCATGGCCCCAGAACACAGGGAAAGGTCCTGGGGCTCTGCCAGGAGCCTCAGGCACGTGGGCCTGGCACTGGTCCGGCCAGAGCAGAGCCTGGAAGAAGCTCCCAGCCTGGTTGAAGTCTGGTCTCAACCCTGCATGCTGGGATGGGCAAGGCACCTCTCCCCCAGCCAAACCACCACAGCATCCCCTGGGGATGTACGCTGTGCTTGGAGCACTGAGCACGATCCAGCCAGGACAAGTTACAACGGGTGCCCTGTGTCCCATACCCAGGGGGCTGGACCAGCCTTGGGCTAGGTGCCAGAGGTCAGCACCCCGTGTCCTTCCCGCACCACATGAGCCATGTCCCCTCACCCCACCCCTGTGCTCTCTGGCACAACTTGGGCTCCCTACATCTCCCAGGGGCAGGCTGGTGGTCCCTTATCCCACTCAGGGGCTGGCTGAGCCAGCTCTGTGCCTGAAGGAGGGCAGAAAGCCCTACCTAGCTCTGGAGAGGTGGGCCTGGCTCGGCGCCCCTTCCCCTTGCTCCGTGTGCTTCTGCCTTCTTGAGCCATCCGGCCACTCTCTTTCTTCTCCCACATTTTCTTCTGCCTTCTCTCCACCTCCCTGCCTGTGCCGTGCTGCCCTGCCCAGCTCCTCTCCAGGCGAGCCTCCTGGTCCACCCCTGGCTCTGCCCAGGGCAGGAACCGTACTTCAGCTGGTGCCTCCGGCCACCGGTACAGCCCCTGGGGCACAGCCAGCCGGGCAGCCAGGGCTTCACTCACCGCCGGGCTCCTCCAGCAGGGCTCCCGTCTGGGCATGGGCTGCCTCTGGCGGGACCCGCCTGTGAAAGGGCCACCCGTCCCTGCGAGGTGGCTTGTGCTAACAGCCACTGCTCCTTCTTCTTCACTTCCCCAGTGCCTTCTTGCTGCGGACCCTTCCTGGCACCAACATCCTCCACCTGGGTGGACTGGCCAGCTGCTGTGCTGCCCCGCACTGGGGCTTTCCTCCCACGCTGTCCCCCTGGCTCCGGCTCCCCGTCGGATCCCACAAGTGCCACACTGGAAAGTGCCAGGTGCTGAATCACGTGCGTGCTCTCCCCTGGCGGGACAGTCTTTGGTGGAAGACCCTTGCGCCCACTGGTGCCCTGCGAGGAGGGGGTGCGGGGGACGCGGGGCGCCGGGGGCTCGCTGGCCGCTGGGGGCGAGGGTGCCGGGGGCAGCCCTGCTTTGCACAGCTCCTGAGAGCGCCGCAGCTGCTGCTTGGATACCCTCC